TAAGTTCAGCAAATCCCTAACACAAATTATCTAGGAAGTATGGGACACAGTGAAAAGACCAAACCTAAGACATGCCAATGAAAGTACAAGAAGCTTACAGAACACCAAATAGAGTAGACCACAAAAATGTCCCATCACCACGTAATAATCAAGACACCAAACATAAGATTAAGGAAAGAATATTGAGAGCAGCTAAGAAAAAGGTTGAGTAAAATATTAAGGTATACCTATCAGAATTACATCTGAATTCTGCAAGAACACACGGAAAGCCAGAAGGACCTGGAGAGATAGTCCACCAACACTAAAAGACCAGGGATACCAGCCCAGACTACTAAACCCAGCAAAGATTTCAATCACTATAATGGAGAAAACAAGATATTCCATGACAAAACCTTTTCAAGCAATACATGTCAACTAACCAAGCCCTACAAAAAGCACTGGAAGGAAAACTCCAACTTAAGGAAGTTAACTGTACCCACAAAAACGTAAGCAATAGAAAATCCCACTTTACCAAAAGCAAAGAGAAAAAGCAGGGTTAACCCACAAACAATAACACCACAAACAACAAATCAAAAACAAACAGAAATTAATACTCAATGGACCATAATTTCCCTCTTTATTAATGGTCTAAAATCACCTATAAAACGAGACAGGCTAACAGAATTGATACAAAGACACAATATATCCTTCTGCCACATACAAGAAGCATACCTCAAATTCAAAAACAGATGTTACCTCAGAATAAAGGGTTGGATAAGATTTTCCAATCAAAAGAACCTAATAAAAAAGAATGGGTAGCTATCCTAATACCTAACAAATTAGAATTCAAACTAAAATCAACCAAAAGTGATGAAAAAGGTCATTTTATATTCATCATAGAAGGACTGCAGATAGATCGATGTCCATGGCCATGCACAAAACATACGTCCAAATGGTCAAAGACCCCAACATATATACATCCACACTGAAACCCTTAGAAGAGAAAGCAGGAGTCACCATTGAACAAATTGGTTCAGGAGACCACTTCCTGAACGTAACACTAGTAGCACAGACACTAAGATGGAAAATTGATAAATAGGACCTCCTGAAACTGATAAGCTTCTGTAAGGCAAAGGCCACAGTCAACAAGACTGTATAACAATTACCTTATATACCATCCTATGACCTTCATCCAGTGTCTGTTGGAAGCAGAGGCAGACACCCACAGCTAAATAGTGAACAGCCCTCCTGATACCCAGTTGCAGAGAGGGAGGAGGGATGAGCATAACGGTCAAGACCAGGCTGGTGAAACCCATAGACACAGTTGACCTGAACAAGGGGCAGCTCTTGGACACCAGACTGATACCTGAGTGGCCAGTATGGGAGTGATCCAGGTGCCCTAAATTTGAGTGTCAGTGAGAAGGCCTCGGCAATCTATGGGGCCTTGGGTATATATCCCTGGCATAAAAATGGACATTGGGTGGCCATCTCACCTTGAGGGATGCTCTCTCAGCCTGGGCAACATGGGTTAGGGCCTAGTCACAGCCCTGTATGAAAAGAAAGACTCTGGAGATCCACCATGGAGGGCCTCACCCTTCCTGGGGAGCCTTGTGAGGATAGGGAAGGTGGTGAAGGTTGGTGGGGTACCAGGGGAGTGAGATGGGATTGACATGTGAAGCAAGCTTGTTTCCAATGTAAATAAAAAATAAAAAGGTGACCACAACTCTCTTCTCTTCTCTGTAGACATGCTGAGTCTGGCACCACGTAGAAATGGAGAGTAATAACAAGTCCAGACCCTTTCTCAGGTAAGATAAGACCTTATAGAAACACTTAGGTTGACAGAAACTGATTAATCATTAGGTCACAGTTAACTAGTAAGAAACCATAGCTAATGACCAACAGATTTATACTTAATATAAGTCTTGTGTGTTCATTTGTGTTTGACGTTGCTATGGGACCAGGCTGGCAGGAAGAGTTCATGTTACAAAATGGCAGCCTTAATGTGTGGCACGAATTTCCACTTAGAACTTGACAAAAACTTAAAAAGGGACATTAGAAACAAAAGAACAAAGTCTAGCACAGAGTCTTAGTGGCAGCATTTTCTCAGATAGTCTCTGTTTTACTAGAGACAAGCACAGCCTCGCTGGGCTCCTTTACGGGAGGTTTTCTGACTCAGTATTAGAGGAAAAAAACTGCAGGGATCTTTCAGAGGCCCCATTACCAAACGAGAATGGTGTGTATGAGCATCTGGCAGTGGCAGTGACCACATCTCCAAGTAGGCAGCATGCTGTTTGATGGCAGCATAGACCAAGGCTTGTACAGAGCTCCCAGTGCTGGTGTTAAATGAACCCGCGACCATCTTGGAAAGACAGTGGCTAAAGCTGCCACGGTCTGATTTTAGCAATGTTGTTTAGAGGATAAAAGACACCTGACTGGATAAAGATGAAGATTTACAATAAAGACAGATTCAGATGAAGTAAAACCTCTAAAGTTTTACTGTGCATTTAAAAAAAATACACACAGGCTTGTGAGAGAAAGGAAACCAGATAAAGCAATTAAGCAAAGAAAGAAAGAAATAGAGTACCTGGGATGTGGTGGCACACATCTTTAATCTCAGCACTCGGGAGACAGAGGCAAGTAGATCTCTGTGATTTCAAGGCCAACATGGTCTACAGAGTTCAAGGGCAGCAATGGGACACAGTCAGTGTAAACCTACCTCAATGAATGAAAACTAAAACTAAAAGAAATATACTATTAAAAAATTAATAAATAAGCCACACTAGGATGGAAAATACACAGAGAGTATAGATATTGTATGCTTCTGTGTTGTCTTTGCATGGTTTGACTGCTGAGGAAAGAGCAGCATCTGCTAAAATAAATGCTGCTGGATTAATCCTAATTATAACTTTTAAAAGTGCCTTGATTTCAAAATTTAAGTATAAGGACATGTTACCTTGGAAAAGATGTTTTGTTTGTGTTTCCACAGAAAATGAAACATGTGGATGCCTTCCAGACTAATATGGTTTGATCAAGCAAGACCCATACAAAACAGCTGAACTGATGCAGCCTCGGAGTAATACAGCCAAGATTTTGCCAGGTTTCTGTTTTAGGAGGCTCTGCAATGGTATTTCTGTGTCCCCAAACAGCAGTAAACAGTTTGGAGAGGACGACACCCATATTCCCAAATACTGCTTATAAATGCTTATTTTCATTTAAATGGGGTTGGTTATAAATGTTAATGATCACAGGCAATCACTTTTTAAATGAGAAAAGGGGAATATGGCATAGAAATGAATACTTCGCATTGGTATTTATTTTGGTTTATTGATACAAATTTAAGGTCAGTTTTGTGATATGCATATTTCCCTTCATGTTTCAGTCTTCTGTTCATAGAGATCTTTTTAAATGTAATGCATAATTAAGTACAGATTGTATACAATCACCTATAATAGTCAAAACTTATAGTTAGGCTAGTTAGGCTTTCTAGATACACAGAGGTGCATTTGAGATGGATAGATAGTCTTCAAACCTTTCAAAGACCTACAAAATATAGCATTTAAAATGGTTTAGGGATTTTCATGACAGTGAGACACACCTGCACCTGGCAATACCAATTGTGTCTGAGAGGAAGGTAGGCATTGAAGAAAACTCCTTATGGAATTTTCCTTTTGCATTGGAGAAATAGCCATTTTGACAAGAAATTGTTCTTCCCTAGCCTGCTTGACTGTTCCTGTATTACCTGTACATGCAGGACACAAAGGGAAGTGACTGCTGAACTTAAAAAACAAATTGGAGAGTCTTAAAGGATTCCTGTTTCATGGAAGAGTCTTCCAGACATTATGTATGACACAGAAAAATGACTGACAAACTGACATTGTAGGCAGTTTAAATTTTCCTGCTTTGCTGAGAAGTCTGCCAGACATTCTATGACTCGTAGGCTGAAGGATATACAATCCTTCTGTGATCTTTGATAGAGTTGAAACATAGTTATGGTTAATAATTTTCATTATTTATGATAATAGATACGTTACATATAAGACGTTATACTAAAAAATATAGGGTGGATGATAGAATATTTTCTTTAAATCTTACTAAATGTTAGTGGATTAAATGTTGTAACTATAGCTCTTTCTTGATAATTGTTTTGTTATATATAGTTGAATATGTGAAAGCTAAAACCCTTCTTTTTATTTAGACAAAAAAGAGGAGATGATGGGGAATGTTCTTCTGTATACATGTTGGAAGTACTTAGATTAGTACTTATGGGTTAAGAATAAGGAGCCAAAGTCGCCAGCAACAACTTAAATAAAAAATAAAATAAAATAAAATAAAATGAACACCTGGTTTCTCCTCAAAAGTCAGATTCTGAATCACAAGATTGCTTCATCTATTCCTGTTCCCAATTGATATACTTGAATTCCTTGTAATCATGTCTCATATCTTCATTGTTTTACTTGGAAGTGTTATCAGTTCTAGCATCTCAGTATAACATGAGCCTGATATTTGATATTACACTCCATTTAAAACAATAGCATGCAGCAACAATTTGTACCAGCACACCTCCAACTAGCATGACTACCTCAGTTAATTTGTATCTTTCTCCTTACACACATTAACTGGTACTATGTCTTCTTCCTCTACTAAAGTCTCATCCCACACATGATTGTGGAAGATGGAACTAAGGAGAGAGTTCCAAAGTGAAAATACAGCTATTCATTAGAATACTGGCTGTAGTCACTCTCCCCTAATCACAGTTTTCTGATTACACCCAGAGAAGACATAATGATTCAAAAGCTCTCCTTTGAAATACAGACTCAATATTAAAGACAGCAACTCCCTCCTCCATCTGCCCAGTTTGGAGAGGGTATATTGCTGTTTCGGGTAGAGCATCTGTTTCTCATTTGGGAAAGAGTGTGTCCAGGGCATTATTATTAGGATGTGAGTACCTTTAAAGAAGGGAACATATTAAATATGTAGATAAAGAAATAAGCTTCATACACAGCCTGAAAATCAAAGTGGCATTTTATTTTAAGTGAGTAGAATACTACAGGAGTATCATTTGGGTGTAGATAATTTGGCCAAGGAGTCACCTGGCACATTTGGAAAAATGCCATCTCTCACATTTCAGGCCATTTGATCGACCTGTTTAGAAGCACTCTGGGCATTCAGGTTACTCTGTATTTTCAATGACTTGATTTCAAATAGGAACATTATCATAGCAAGGAGTGACAGAGTGGTTGTCATGACTCCTATGGGGAACACATGTGTGTGGTGTTTCTTTATCAGGTCTTCTTTCCTAACAGGAAAATTGGGTGGAAAGTCAAAGGTGGTTTCGCCATAAAAATCTACTACATGGTTCCAGGTGACAGAAAGAACTGTGCAAAGGCTGCTGAGAAGAAGAATTAAGACAGAGCACTTGTAGCAGACGATCTGAATCTCAGGGACTGAGGCTTTGATAATGCTAACCCTAATGGTCGCTGAGCTAAATATTACAACCACAGGTTTTATAAACATCGCCAATAAAATCAGCTTCTGTGCACATCGAAATTCAGGTGAAATGATCCAGCTTGAGTTGACCGGACTGTGCACCAGAATCCTGATCACAGAGCCAGAGATCTGAAGCTCCTGATGGTAATAAGCTTCCCAGAGCCCGATGTACACAAGCTGAACGACATCACTGTCGAATTCCCAGAGGCGCCAGTATCGGCTGCCTGCAAGGATTATTCCAAATGCCGAAGACAAGAGGCTGCAAAGGAAGCCAGACAATCTGAAGATCCACTCTTTCACCCCAACACATCTGGAGATGAGATTGAACAAATATAGAGTCAATCCATGATTGTAAAGGAAGGGTGGAAAACAGAACTAGTCATGATTTATAGAGTATTAAGTACTCACAACTTTCTATGCTGTCTCAACATTATATTAAAGCTCTCTGTCTCTCTACCTCTGTCTCTGTCTCTCTCTCTCTCTGTATATATATATAAATATTGTTGTACAGACAATTTAAGTATATGTATGAGGTCTTAAAATCTCTGACTTTGGCAGGAGTTCCTATCGTAGCATATTTTGAAATATATTTTCATAGTATCCTTAGTATCCTTTAAAGGCTGCTGTGCTCCTATTTGATTAGGAATTTCATTACTAGGGTTAAAGGTGAAATACCAGTTTGCAGTATCATTTAAGGAGTTACAATGCAAAATGGAACAATTATAAATAACTTTAATGAATATTTCAAGCAGAGGAAGGCTAAGTTATTATAGTGTATTATTGCATGATCACCACAAGAGGACTTTAATATTTGTATAACCCATAAGAAGAAAAAGCAAAAAAAATTAACCATAATGTACCTCTTATGTTCATCTATGTGAGTCAAGAGAATTCTATATTTCTATCAATATCTAAAGCCATCTGATCATAAAAGTTGCACAGGAATGGAAAGTTAGCTAAGTACATCAAAGTGAAGTATCAGACACTGTCATAATTCTTTAAATATTTTCCTAAAAGTGTCCATTTCTATAGAAGGGTATTTGTGGTATGATGTAATTAAAATTAGCACAAACAAAAAATATGCTGTTTTTAACTCAATGAGGATATAACTTGTTTGTAGAATGATGATTACCTGTTACATGTGAGGTGATGAGTTCGCTCCCCCAAAACCATAAAACTAAACTCTGTATGTAAAAGTAGAGGAATCATGAACATGTGTATTTTATATGTGCTATTTAATCATTATTGCACCTTGAGAATATTGGTTTCATTTGGGTGCAACATATAAATTAACCTGTGTTATTTTGGGTTCGCCAATGTCATCTTTGATACAAAACTTAACACTTCACATTAACATTATAAGGTAACTCATTTGCATTTTCTGTCAGTTCAGATCATTGAGTGTAACAAAAAGGAAAATGAGAAAAATCATGCTGAGAGGTCCTCATGAGTCATTTAGCAGAAAGTAAGAAAGCAAAATATGCAATATCCAGCATATTTTGATATCATTGTCATGTCACATGCAGAAAGTTGAGGAGCCAATAAAGGGGTTTCCTTGCCATGGGGCATCACCTATCAAAAAGCTACTGTTACAATACCTTCTGTGGAATGTGATTCCTAAAAGAGGGAAGGCTGCAGAGGTTCTACTTGGGAAATTACATCAACAATATGAGTTTGCAATTGATGGTGTCTTGGGTATCACTAGGGGCTCTTTCTTGTCTAGGCATGTCTGAAGCAGTGGAGTGCAGGAGCAGTATGCTTTGAAGCAGAAATGAAAGCAGGGTTGACAGTAATTTTGTGCCAGAAAATTAGCTATCTTGGCAGGATGTGGTGCTCCCCTTTTCTGAACCCCAATAGTAGATTCAAATTTTTTTTTGTAAATAACCATGTAGAAAGCCTTCATACAACATAATTATGTGTTTACCTTTTTGTGTTGGGGGTGAAGTGATCCATTTGGAAGATGACAATATCACAAATCTTCTTCCAATTCACTGGAAATACTTGTCAGCAAGGGAGTCTCAAGAAGTGGCGATGCACCTGAGTGAAAGAAGGAAGCTCTGGTAGGTGCTTGTTTCTGCTTAGAACAATGCCTTGTCGAATGTCCAGCTCTCACAAACCGCTGGATTCACAGCACACCCTTTACATAGTGAGAACTTACTTTAGACACTACAGGATACTGGTGACTCTCCAGAGATACCCAAGCAGTTATTATTCTCAATTTATACGTTGGGAAATACCAGAGATGCTCTAAATCCCACTCACAACCTTCAGTGAGTGACACAGATAAATGGACACATATACATTTGGATCTTCCTGTACTTTATGATGCTCAGCAGGATTTACTCAAATGGAAAACATATACAAATACATCCTAATTACCATTTCAGAGGTGGTTTTTGGCACTCTCTATCCTAAGATAGTGGAGTTGATTAACAGAAACAACACGGAAAATGTAAATCCTTACCTTTTTGTCTCCCATCTAGGAAACCCCAATGTTAGCTACTGCAAATCTTAAAAGAAATAAGTAACTATATACATTCTTATGTTTCCATGACTACTAGGTCTAGGTGATTGTTTCTGAGCAACGAGTGGATTCCAAATGGCATGCATGATGTGCCAGATTGAAGCCTTTAAAATTAGTTTCTTAATAAGTCATACATCAAATAAACTCTGTAACCTATTAGGTCCCTGTAAAAACTATTCTTGTTTGTCAACTTGACAATAAGTGGAATAAACTAAAATTCAAATGACTGGGCACATACGTGGGTTTAATTTTCTTAATTAAACCATTGAATGGCACAGACCCATTTTAGTCCACATCTTACACAGGAGAAGATGCAACCTCCATACAGATATATTATGGGCCTTTGGTTGTTCCATATAAAGTTGATTATTGTTCTTTGAAGTTCGGTGAAGGATTGTGCTGAAATTTTGATAGGGATTGCATTGAATCTGTAGACTTCTTTTGGCAAGATTGCCATTTTTATTATGTTGATCCTACCAATCCAAGATCATGGGAGATCTTTCCATTTTCTGGTATCCTCTATTTTCTTTCTTTAAAGACTCAAAGTTCTTATTAGGTAAATCAATGCTGTATCATTATGTTTTGACATCACCATTTTCCTGGGGTTTTACTGGTTTCTTTTTATAAGGTGATATCTTGGGCTCTCCTGAAGCCTGTAATAGGATTATGTCACAAAGGGAGATGTAACAAACCATGGGACGAGACTGGCATCCAGGATGTTCAGCAGAGGCTGGTACTGCTCTCCGCATACCCTTCACCATGTAGCTTCTCATACCTAAGCACTATAAATCTTTCCCACCAACCTGTGCCTCTCCCAAATACACAAGAACACACCAGCCCTTTCTACGCCCACACCCTGTCCTAAGAAATAAAGCATCAGGAACAAGTTCAAATTCTGTATGCTAACAATGCATATCACCAGGATATAGGTATACTTGTTGTCAGGCTTCCAGACCTGTACAAACCAATGCCCCTTTCTTACCAGACAATCTACCACCCTTTCTACCTAGAGCCCACCACAGACCACAGGAAACTCATCTGCTCATGTATGTTTGCTTTTATTTGAAATACCAAAAGAGGACTCTGTGGTAACTGTCAATAGACCTGGGAGTGTCCATGACGGGCCATGACTGAGCATTAAGAACTCGGAGGAGGTGAGAGGTCTTGATCATGCTGAGTCTCCGGGCTGGTCATGTCCCCAGTAGATTCTCTGGAGCTCGGTGAGGCCCTTCTTGTTGAGGATCATTCTTGCACAGCTCCATGTTGAGTTGATGGTTTTGCTCAGGAGAAGGCATCCCCCCTCCCAATTTTTTTTCAAATACCTCTCAATGAGTCTTCTCTTTAGCCTTCTGTGCTGCCGGTGTCTTCTTTGCCATTTAAAAATCCTTTGAACCTGCAAGGACAGCACAGTGATGATAAGCATGTGAAGGGGACACTGTGCGGAAAATGTGTGGGCTGAGGAGGAAATCCATGCCAGGCCACGGAAAGACAAGAGTCCCAGGGAAGGGAAACTGCTAAATGAAGAAGAAAGGATACTTTGCTCTTGTAGTCTCACCTTTCCATGTCTTGCCGAGATCGGCTGACACGCAGCTGTACCAGGTGCGCAGGGAGAAGCCTGACTAGAAATCACGGCATTCATTTGTTGCTATTCTGAGGTTGAGGGGTCTAAATCCGTATTAGGCTCCACTACCTCCTCAATAACCTCCATAATGAAGCCTACCAGAAAGAGGTCTGACCCACAGCTCTCTGCACACAACTGATCTAGGCTGCAAAACAATGCAGGGCCAAACCCTTCAGCCCTGATTGGTCAGCACAGCCTGGACAGCGTTAAGAAACTTTCTAGCATCACAGAGCACCACCTCTAACCTCTCCGGGCTCTGGCCACAGGGTTGAGGGGTGAGCTTCCAGAGAAACCAGGAGGGGGAATGGGCACTGCTATTGTAAAGGAAGAGCTTCTGTCAGGAGACAGGTGGCTCTTGGTGAGCTTCTTCAAGAGCTACTTCCCAAACCCCTTTTTTTTCCTGTATTCAGTGCTCATCACAGAGGAAGGCATGGCAGGAATCCCCCTTCTACAAACTTTTCCGTGTGTCAACCCGTATTCAGTGGATCATTCTGGTTTGTCTTTCACTTACCCCTTAGGGAGCGTTATATTATCATTCTGAAAATATTTCCAAAAGTGATTAGATCAAATATAGGACTCCTTAGCTGGTTAAACTCCTACAAACAAACAAAACCAGGTCTTTATGAATAAGTACAACCCAACATGTTTAAATTTGTCATGAGAGGTGACTGATTTTCATTAGAATATTTTTTATACTTATTGTTGGAACATTTAATATAAGAGTATGATGGATTTTTATTAAATGCCTCCCCCAATTCCTCCCCTCCTAGGTTCAAAAACTTCAGTGTAAGTTTCTGGCTGCCCTTTTCTTGTCAACAGAGTTTGGGATAAATTGGAATTTTTGTAGAAAACTGTATGTCTACTTTTATTCAGCAGTTGAACACTGACCTCTTTGTTTTTTTACTATTATTAAAGGTTTTTTCTTTTGTTATTGTGAGTGTGTGTGTGTGTATGTGTGTGTGTGTGTGTGAGAGAGAGAGAGAGAGAGAGAGAGAGAGAGAGAGAGAGAGAGAGAGGGAGAGAGAGAGATTATTGCTGACACACATTTCCTTCCCTGTAACTTATCTTCTATTCTGATGTTTTTGAATCATACCTTATGCAGACTTGTGTTTTTGTGAAATAAATGCTGCTGCTGCTTTAATACATTTGTTTGTCAGAAATGCAATTCACCCTGATAATTGCTCAAACTGGATGGGGTCCAAAGTCCATTTGTATACCCAGGATAAATACTGATCTATTACCCAAGGCTCAATAGATACCTAGGCGTCTCACTGACACCCACATTCAGGGGGTCTTGATCAGCCCCATGCTGGATTCCCAGGCATCAGTCTGGGATTCAAGAGTTAACCCTTGTCAGTTCAGCTGTTTCTGGGGATTAAACCAGCCTAGTCTTAATGCCTTTGGTCATCAGTCCTCCCTCTCTGTCACTGGATTTCTTGAGTTCAGCTCAGTGCTTAGCCTTGGGTGTCTGCCTCTTCTTCCATCAGCCACTGAATGAAGATTCTGTTTCCCAAACTCTCTGGCCATGGGATTGTAGGCTGGGAATCCCCAGATCTATGTCTAAAATCCATATATGAGAGAGTACATGCCATGTTTCTCTTTTTGTGACTGGGTTACCTTCCTCAGGACAGTTTCTTCTAGTGCCATCCATTTGCTTGCAAATCTCAGGATTCCATTGTTTTTTCTGCTGAATAGTACTCCATTGTGTAAATGTACCACATTTTCTCTATCCAGTCTTCGGTTGAGGGGCATCTAGGTTGCTTCCATGTTCTGGCTATTACAAATAGTGCTGCTATGAACATAGTGGAACAGACATCCTATTTGTATGAATGGGAATCTTTTGAATATGTGCCTAAGAGTGGAGTTGCTGGGCCATGAGGTTGGTTTATTCCAGTTATTCTGAGGAATCTCCATACTGATTTCCAAAGTGGCTGTAAAACTTGGCACTCCCACAAGCAGTGGATGAGTATTCTCCTTTCAACCCATCCTCCCAAGCATAAATTTTCATTGGTGTGTTTGATTTTAGCCATTCTGACAAGAGTGAGATGGTATCTCAGAGTTCTTTTGATTTGCATTTCCCTGATGGCTAAGGATTTGGAGCACTTTCTCAATTGCCTCTCAGCCATTTTTGACTTCTCTATTGAAAATTCTCTATTTAGTTCTGTAGCCCACTTTTTAATTGGATCCTATGGTGTTTTGGAGACTTGCTTCTTGAGTTCTTTGTAAATTTTTGACATCAATCCTCTGTTAGATGTGGGGTTAGTGAATACTTTTTCCCTTTCTGTGGGCTATATTTTTGTCTTGCTGACTGTGTCCTTTGCCTTACAGAAACTTCTCAGTTTCAGTAGGTCCCATTAATTAACTGTTGATCTCACTGTCTGTGCTACTGGTATTATGTTCAGTTAGCTGTCTCCTGTACCAATTCGTTAAAGGGTGCCATCAACTTTCTCTTCTAAGAAGTTCAGTGTGCCTGGATTTATGTTGAGGTCTTTGATTCATTTGGACTTAAGTTTTGTGCATGGGGATCAATCAGCATTCTTCTACATGTCAGCATCCAGTTATGCCAGCACCATTTGTTGATGATGCTTTCTTTTTTTCCATTGTATGTTTTTAGCTTCTTTGTCAAATATCAGATGTTCATACATGTGTGGGTTAATATTAGGGTTTTCAATTAGATTCCCTTGGGCTACCTGTCTAATTTTGTGTCAGTATCAAGCTGTTTTCAGTACTATAGCTCTATAATACAACTTGAAGTGTAGGATGGTGATGCCTCCAGTAGGATCAATGTAGTAAAAATGGCAATCCTGACAAAAGCAATCTATAGACTCAATGCAATCCCCATTAAAATAGCAGCACAATTCTCGCAGACCTTTAAAGTACAATAATCTATTTTGTATGGAAAAACAAAACACCCAGCATAGCCAAAATAAACCTGTTCAACAAGGAAAATACTTTCAATGGCGAAGTGCATTTGAGGAGTAATCCATTTGATGGCTAGCCCTAGTTATTCCCCCACAGAATAAGAAAGGTGTTCTCATTGTTGTTATTGTAGTTGTTTTATAGGAGCCCCACAGTTGAAGGAGTAGATATCTGTTAGAGACAGTCCCTTCAGACTCCCACTCCATCCTGTTTCCAATTTGTTAAGGAGCTCTTGTTCCCTTCCCCTTCTCTAGGGGAACATGTCTGTCACTCTTAAGGTACTCCTTCTTTCCTAGCTTCTCTGGAGGTGTGTATTGTAGGTTGGTAATCCTTTATTCTATGTCTAATATTGATATATGAGTGAGTATATAGCATGTTTGTCCTTCTGTGACTGGATTACCACACTCAGGATGGTTTCTTCTAGCTCCATTCATTTCATTTACCTGAAAATAACAATATTCCATTGTTTTT